GAAACACAGGCAGAGGGAGAAGCAGGCTCCACGCAGAGAGCCCAATATGGGACTCGATCCCAGAACCCCAGGATCATGGGGAGCCAAAGGGAGAAGCTCAGTCACTGCCCCTCTATCCTGGTTGTTAAGCGATCATCAGTTTTCCTTTCCTGACAGAAACCTATGGTGTTGATTAGGATTGCTGTGGGACTGCTCAAGTGGTGACGCAAAGCAAATATGAAAATTCTTTGTAATGATGGTAGCTGTCTCCAACAGAGCGCTCCTGCTGTGCCAAGTCTTGTCTTAGGCACTTTCTCTATATTATCTGTTTCCTTAACTCTCACAACAACACTGTGCTTTACAGGGGAGGAACCTGAGGCTCAGAGAAGCTAAACAACCCGGTGAAGTCACAGAGCAGGTGTATGGCTGAGCAGTCTGGCCCCAGGAGCCCACAGGTCAGTCGCCCAGCCTGCCCCATGGCCTGGGCAGAGGATGCAATACCCCAGAATGTCTACTGAGGTCGCTGGGACTCTCCCTCACCCACCCCTCTGTGGGAACCCGTCAAGTCCTTCTGGCTCCTCTGCCAGGCTTCCCACAGTTGGCTCCAGTCTACCTCAGGTTCCCTGAGGCATGCTCTTCAGCTTTTGCAAATGCTGAGCTGCCCCGGGGCCATTCACATGTGAACTGGAAAGACAAAGGAGCAAAGTTCTGAGAAAAAAATGACAGGAAATGAATACAAGCCCTGCAGACAGAGGCAGTAAGCAGGGGGCAGAGGGAGGTTAGCTGAGCCAAGAGAACAAATGGCAAATCAAAAGCCAACGGGCCAAACTAAAAGGCATCCTATGGAATGGGAGATGTTTGCAAATGACACATCAGATTAAGGGCTAGTATTCAAGATCAGTAAAGAATTTACCAAACTCAACACTCAAAAAAAACAAAAGCAAAAACAAAAACAAAAAAAAACAAGTCTAGTCAAGAAATGGGTAGAAGACATGAACAGACATTTCTCCAAAGAAGACCTACACATGGCCAACAGACACATTGAGAAATGCTCCACACCACTTAGCATCAGGTAAATACAAATCAAAACCATAGTGAGATACCACCTCACAAGGGTCAGAATGGCTAAAATTAACAGGAAACAACAAATGTTGGCAAGGATGCAGAGAGAGGGGACCCTCTTGCACTGTTGGTGGGAATGCAGGCTGATGCAGCCACTCTGGACAACAATTTGGAGGTTCTGCAAGAAGTTAAAGATACAGCTACCCTATGACCCAGCAATTGCACTACTGGGTATTTACCCCAAAGATACAAAGGTAGTGATGCGAAGGGGCACGGGCACCCCAATGTTCATAGCAGCAATGTTCCCCATAGCCAAACCGTGGAGTCAAGATGTTCGTTGACAAGTGAATAGATAAAGATGTGGTATGTATATATATATATACACGTACAATGGGATATTACTCAGCCATCAGAAAGGACCAATACTTACCATTTACATATATGTGGATGACACTAGAGGGTATTATACTGAGTGAAATAAGTCAATTAGAGAAAGACAATTAATCATATGGCGTCACTTAACATGTAATTTAATGTTCTAGCCACATTAAAAAAAATTAAGAAAAAACAAGGTGAAATTAACCTTAACATTTTATGTAAGCCATTATGGTCCTTAAATATTATGACTACACCTACTCACAAAATAGTATCATTTACATATGTAATCAACATAAGAATCATTAATGATGCATTTTAATTTTTTTCCTTCTTCCAGGATTTTGAAATTTGGCAGGCATTTTGTACTTGGGGCATGTCTCAGTTTGGACCAGCTAATGCCACTCTAAGTGCTCAGTAGCCCCCCATGGCCGGCCTGGAGCTGTCATGCTGGGCAGTGCAGCTCCCATCTATGACTCCATCTTTTAAAGGCTCACTTCTCACGCTGCTGTTCCACAGTCCCAAATATCGTTCTCCTGTCCTTTTAGTCTCCCATTCCAAGCCCACAACCCCAACAGAATAAAGATGAAAAGACTAAAAGAATTCCCTGACTGGAACACCGTTTGATCCTTTCCCCCCGGGGAAAGGGGGGAAATAACGTGACAACTGCCCTTAACCTACAAGCAGATGACAAAGGGAAGTGTGTGAGAGTGAAGAAGCAGCCACTCCAAGTATGAGCTTTTGGGGAACTCCAGGAATATGGAATAAGCCAGTGTTTATTTTATATGAGAGAGAAGAAAAATGGTTAAGAATAAGAACTACGGGCACATGGAAACAATGAAAAATTAATCATCAGTAGCTTCAGATCCAAGGAAGTTCAGTGGATTCCATGCATGTACAAAAATATCCAGGCGATGGCTGAAAGGGGCATCTGTTTTCAGGCGGGGGTTTTTTCAGGCCTTTTACCGGAACCCAGGGAGGCACAGTAGGGCTGGTCAGTCTCCACTCTTCAGAGTTCAGCCTGGGGGGCAATGGACCATCTCCTTATACTGTACCCACGGGAGGCGATCGCACTAGAGGAGCAAGGGGTTAGCTAGGTTTATAGTAATTTCTGCGAGGTTGGTATCACCATTTTGCAAATCTGGCAGTTGTGTTTGGGAGACATTAATCAATGTGCTGAGGTTACTGTGAGTAACCTCTGCCAGTGAGCAGGGAAGCCAGGATTTGAATCTAGGAGGAAAATAATAAATTGGCATAATATCCAGGCTGTCCCATCTGTGTGACACGGAGACACCAAAGGTCCCCTAAAGATGCCTGGAGGCTGGCCTCAGGCAGGTGGACAGCAGGCCTGCGGATCCAGGTGATAACATATACTGAGGGTTTGCTGTGTGTCAGCGCCCCTTCCAAGAACCCCACACACAGACTAGACAGACAGGGCCAGATGTGGCTGGGTCCCCAGCAATTCTCCAGTATTAACCCCCCCACACACACACCCTTTACCTCACTGTGCTCCAGCACACTATCTCCCTCCAGATGTTTCTCAAACAGAACAAAGCTCGATCTCACCCCACAGCCGTTACACGAGCCATGCTCCCTGCCGGGGGCACCTTTCCCCAGATGCCCAAAGGGCTCCCTTCCTCCCTTGCACCCCTCACCCCCCTGCTCTGGCACCACTGCCTCCCTCAGTGAGACGCTGTCTAACCGCGCCGTTTAGATTCACAGGTTATGCTGCTGCCTGGCACGGAGCAGACAATCAGCACCGGCATTTTGTGAAGACGCGTTCAGTAAGTGGACAGCACCCTGGTGCAAGGTGCCTCTTGAAATGGGGTCCCCCAGGCCAGCCTTCAAGGAAGTCGACAGACTTCGCAGACTTGCAGTTGTTAGAGGCCTAGGGGAAGGGGGCCCCACAGGAGGACAGGGCAGGGCAAAGGCTCGGAGAGGAAACAGTGCTCCGCCAGGGTGCCAAAGGCGAAGGTGCGGTGTGTGGGGGTGGGGGGGCAGGGGACGGCTGAGAGGTCAGTGGGAATGGGGGGGAGCAGGGGACGGCTGAGGGGTCAGTGGGAATGGGGGGGAGCAGGGGCGGCTGAGGGGTCAGTGGGAATGGGGGGGAGCAGGGGCGGCTGAGGGGTCAGTGGGAATGGGGGGGAGCAGGGGCGGCTGATAGGACAGTGGGAGTCGGAGGCGGGGGGCAGCAGGGGACAGCTGGGAGGTCAGTGGGAGTCGGGGTGGGGGGACGGCTGAGAGGTCAGTGGGAGTCAGGGATGGGGATGGCTGGGAGGTCAGTGGGAGTTGGGGCGGGGAGCAGGGGCGGCTGAGGGGTCAGTGGGAATGGGGGGAACAGGGGCGGCTGAGGGGTCAGTGGGAATGGGGGGAGCAGGGGCGGCTGAGGGGTCAGTGGGAATGGGGGGAGCAGGGGCGGCTGATAGGACAGTGGGAGTGGGGGGGCAGGGATCGCTGAGAGGTCAGTGGGAGTCAGAGGCGGGGGGCAGCAGGGGACAGCTGGGAGGTCAGTGGGAGTCGGGGGGGGACGGCTGAGAGGTCAGTGGGAGTCGGGGATGGGGATGGCTGGGAGGTCAGTGGGAGTTGGGGCGGGGAGCAGGGGCGGCTGAGGGGTCAGTGGGAATGGGGGGAGCAGGGGCGGCTGAGGGGTCAGTGGGAATGGGGGGAGCAGGGGCGGCTGAGGGGTCAGTGGGAATGGGGGGAGCAGGGGCGGCTGAGGGGTCAGTGGGAATGGGGAGGAGCAGGGGAGGGCTGGGAGGTCAGTGGGAGGGGGGGGACGGCTGGGAGGTCAGTGGGAGTCGGGGAGGGGGACGGTTGGGACGTCAGTGGGAGTTGGGGGGGAGCAGGGGCGGCTGAGAGGTCAGTGGGAGTGGGGGGGGCAGGGGCGGCTGAGAGGTCAGTGGGAATGGGGGGGAGCAGGGGAGGGCTGGGAGGTCAGTGGGAGTCGGGGGGGGGGACGGCTGGGAGGTCAGTGGGAGTTGGGGGGGGACGGTTGGGAGGTCAGTGGGAGTCGGGGATGGGGACGGCTGGGACGTCAGTGGGAGTTGGGGGGGGAGCAGGGGCGGCTGAGAGGTCAGTGGGAATGGGGGGGAGCAGGGGAGGGCTGGGAGGTCAGTGGGAGTCGGGGGGGGGGGACGGCTGGGAGGTCAGTGGGAGTCGGGGATGGGGACGGCTGGGACGTCAGTGGGAGTTGGGGGGGAGCAGGGGCGGCTGAGAGGTCAGTGGGAATGGGGGGGAGCAGGGGACGGCTGGGAGGTCAGAGGGAGTCGGGGGCTGCCGGCGCTCCCGAGAGGCTGGGATGGCCTCGGGACCACGGGGCACAGACAGGACCCTACGTGGGTTTTTGCCCCGCTCCCTTTGGCGCCTGTTGGCGGACAGACAGGCGACGGAGTGGGGCGGCGGAGGTGGGGTGCTGCGGCGGCGCCCCGAGCTGCCCGAGCCGGCCGAGGCCCCGCCCCCGCGCCGGGCACAGACTCAGGCGGGAGGGCAGGAAGCGCCGAATCCTTTTGCCTTTATTTCTCGGCCGCTGGGCGAAGCGCGGGGCGCGGGGCGCGGGGCGCGGGGCGCGGGGCTCCGGGCGGGTCCTACTGCTCTGGGCGCGGCTGCAGGTCGTCGCGGGGGGCGCCGGGGCCCGAGCCAGCCTGCGGGGGCCGCGAGTCAGGGCGCGGGCGGCCGCTGCCCCCCCGTGCCCCCCCGTGCCCCGCGGGGCGCCCCGCTCCCCACTGACGCTCTCCCGGGGGGGCTCCGAGGGCACGCCTCGCCGCCATCGCCAGGCTCCCTACCGCTCCTTCGCAGGCTCCGTGCTTTGGGGCGCAGTGGGCTTGGGCAGGCCCCTGCCCCCCGAATTCCTCGAGCTCCGCCTTCAGCCTGGAGAGCGGCGGGCGCGGGGAGGAAGAAGAGGACCAGGTGGGGCGGCGCGGGGAGGACCCGCCGGGGACCTCAGACGAGCAGCGCCGCCGCAGAGGCCCCGCGGACCCCCTCCCGGGCCGGGTCCTTGCGGGGGGCAGGGCCGGCCCATTCCCCGCCCCCTGGCTCCTTGCTTCAGCCGCGGCTCCGGCCGCTCTCACCCGTCGTCCACCGCCTGGGCGCCCCGGGCCTCGGGCGCCGAGCTCAGCCGCCGCTCCACGTCCTCCAGCTTGGCCAGGGCCCGGCTCTCTGCGGGCGGCCGGGGCGTCAGGTCCCGGCGGCTCCCGCGGGCTAGGCGCCCCCTACCCGCCCCCACCGGCCCCCACCCGGCCCGGCGTCCCACCTTCAGAGAGCAACTGCTCCCTGCTGCTGTGCAGAGCACGGATCTCCCAGGCCAGTCGCTGCTTCAGCATCTGCGAGAGAGGAGACCTGTCGGTCCGTCTGTCCCCTTACCCGAATTATGTCATTCATTCATTCAACTATTAACTCGACGTGCAGTTCCAGCTGTGGCCTGGTGGTGATGGGGAAGCATGTCCTCTCCAGAAGCCCTCCATGTCCCAGGGTACCTCCCAAATCTCTCCTCATTTCCCTCATCCTCCACCCGCTTCCCCTTGCTCTCCTACTAATAACCTGGGCACGCTTCAGCCTCAAGGCCTTGGCATTGGCCTCTCCTTCTAACAGGATCATCTGCACCAAGATACCTGCATGTTTTCCTCCTTTATGTCTGCATTCAGATGTCACCTGCTCAGAGACCTTCCCCTGACATTACATGATCCACTTATCTTTTTGTTTAGAGTCTGGGTATGCCTTCCCTGCCCCCAGCCATCCTGGGGACAGCAAATAGTTGACCCCTTTATCTCCTCACTGTCTCTTCCTTTATTCATTAGTTCAATGAAGGAATTATCAGACCATGGCCTTCAAGGTTCCCATTTGCCATTGCAAGGGGAGCAAACTCGAGGTGAGTAGGAAGGAAGCAGGATGCTTAGCAACAATCTGGGCAAAGATGCCGGGCATGGCAATGGGACATGGTAAGAGGTGGCTAGATTTAAGGTAAGACCTGAAAAGCTTAGTAGGTGGGTAAGAGGAAGAGGAGTCAAGGACTATCCCATGGAGTTGTGGTGAGCAGTGGGTGGACAGTGAGTCAGTCAGTGGAGATACTGAAACCAGGAGAGGAAGGGCTGTGGTTGGAGGCAATGAGGATGGCTCACGTGGAATTCCCAGAGTTCCTTGTGCTGGCCCATCAAATTCTCCAGCTGTTCTTCAACATGCAACCTACAGGCGAATACCGAGGAATGAGAGGATATATGGTAGGACTGACAGCCAGCCTGGCCCAGTCTGGGGAGTCCTCTGGGAGGCCTCTGGATCTTTGCCCTGTGCTCCCTCTCCTAGGATCCCCTTTATGGGCTTCTTCCTCCAAGCCTTGGTTCCAATAGCTCCTCTTCCAACAGACTCCCTGATGCAAGCCCCACTCCCATATTCAACCAGCACCACACTGGGCCATAGACCAGGGTTACCCCAGCAGTTACCCCAGCTTCTTCTGTCTGCAATTCTCTGCAACCTGAGAGTTATGGATAGAAATTTGCTCTGTGCAGTCCTGCAACATGTTCTTCCTGGAAGGAGAAAGACAACTCTTAGTCATATCTCTGAATAAGCCCTCACTTCCTTCAGCAGGATTGGGAAATGGCAGTGGTCTGTTCACAACTTTCATCATTGTCCTTTCCTGTGACTGGATGTGCAACTTTATGGGCCTCTATTGAGATGATCACCCTGTCCATCCTGTCCCTCATCAAACTATGCCTTCCCTGAGAAACCTCTGTGAGGGGTATAGTAGTTTAGCTTAATAGGTTCTGGGATCCCTGGGTGGCGCGGCGGTTTAGCACCTGCCTTTGGCCCAGGGCGCGATCCTGGAGACCCAGGATCGAATCCCACGTCGGGCTCCCGGTGCATGGAGCCTGCTTCTCCCTCTGCCTCTCTCTCTCTCTCTCTCTCTCTCTCTCTCTCTCTCTCTCTGTGTGTGTGTGTGTGTGTGTGTGACTGTCATAAATAAATAAAAAAAATTAAAAAAAAATAGATTCTGAAGTCTCAGCTTGAGTCCTAGATCTGCTATTCCACTCTGACCCTGGACAAGTTACTTAGCAAGTCTGGATCTGTTTCCTCATATGTAAAATGGTGATAGTGGTGGGAGGGTAACAGTAGTCCTTAACTCCTGTAATTAATGTGAGGATTAGGTAGAAAAATGGACATAAACTGCTCATCAGACAGTCTGTGTGGTGTAGTGTAGTTAAGCATACACCTACTTTATCATCAGGTTTTCCCACATAGTTAAAATCATGGTACACCAGGGTGTGAGACCTCTGGTTACAAGTACATGTTAAGGAAAGGTTCGAAGGATGGAGAGATGGATGGACAGGTGGTTGGATGGACAATAACTGATGGGTGAATGATTGACTGAAGAGACAACGGCTGGTTGGAGAAATGATGAGTGGAGGGATGATGGCTGGACAAAGAAATGAATTGCTGGAAGGATGGATAGATGTCTGGATGGATGACTGGGTGAAAAAATGATCAGCTAGACGAATGGGTGGTTGGAAAGATGGAGAGAGGATGAGTGGATGATTGGATGGATGGAAGATTGGTTGGAAAGCTGGAGACATAATGGCTGTCTGGAAAATGATTACATAGATGTGTGGATGAATGGGTGAGTGGGTGGACACGTGAGTAAGTGGATGACTGGGGACCTAAATGGGCAGATAAATAAACAAATGAATGGATGGTAGAAAAGCTGAATAATCAACAGAAAATGATTTAGAATAATACCAGTGAGTGAAATTTATTTAATAAAGAAATGAACAATGAATGATCAAATGAGTGACTTAACCTCAACACCATCATCTGATATCAAAGATGAGCAGAGAAGTCTCTTGTCTAGCTACTCTATTTTATGGAAAGAAAAAATGAAAAGTGTGTGTCCAGAGTATATTTTCCCTAGCTCTTGCTCCCTCCTCCTTCAGGTTGAGGAAAAATTGAGCAGGACCTCTTACCTATTAGCTTCACTTTCCTTCCTTTGGCAGTACAACTGGAGGATCCTCAGTGCCTCTGTAGGAAGAGGAATCAAGGTAGCCTGTGTGAACTCTTGGGGAGTCAAGATTGGGTGGAGGTATTGGGCCCCACATCGTATCACACATTGGAGGGCACTTGGGGGCCTTTAGTGTATTTGAGTCAGGTGGCAGCCAAGGGAGAGGTCTGAGCAGAGAGCGAAACACTCTGACTCAGGTTTCAGTGGGACTTCTCTAGCTGTTCTGGGAAATGTGGTCTCTTGTGGGTAGAATGGGGGTAGAACAATGAAGACAGAGCAGCTGATAAATACCTTGCTTTTTGTTCAAGACCTCCTCTAGATGCACTTTCTCTTCATTCACTGGAAAACACAGTGACACTTTGAGCCTCCAGAGGTCACATTCTGTGCCCCCATTGCAACTTCATGCAAAGGCATATCAAAGTTACAAAACGTATGGTACAGTGCCAGGGCAGGGGAGGTATTTTTTCTTGCCACCCTCAACCATCTCCCATTGGGGACCATCTTGATGCACATCTCCGTGTCCACATTCTCTGTAGATGACAAAGGAGTGAAGCCCTTGCAGAATGCACGGGGATTTATACCAATGGGAGAAATGCCTAGAAATAAATACACTATGTCAAGTGGAAATAAAGGCTCTGAAGAAACAGATCACGCCGGGGAGTGGGAGTGACAGAGGGAAGGTGGTAATCCATATTTAGATGGAGTGGTCAAGGTAGATCTGTTAGAATAAAGTTTGGGCTAAGAGTTGAAATGTGACTTGTAATAGCAAAGAGACAATCGGTATCATACAGATAAGAGCATTGCAGATGGAGGGAAGAGCCGATGCAGAGCTCTGAGGTGTACAGAGAACATTGGCGGTGCTCATAAGATCTGTGGGTCCCTCTTTTGGTCCCACTTACAGGAGTCCAATTCCCTATGCAGGGTCTCCCAGAGAGCTTGGGCTTCTGCCAGTTCCTCGCTGGATTTCTTCTTTGCTGGGCAAAAGCAGAGAAGAAGACTTTGTGTGAGTGCAGCTTCTAACTTTGCTATTCTCTTGCACACTATGGCACTGCACACTCCTCTTTCATCAATGTGAAGGTGCCTGGACTTTATAGATGAGGCAGTGGAGGCATTCAAAGTCCAGGTACTTGCTGGCTAGCTAGGAAGTGTAGGTCCTGGAGTTTACCTTGCTGAAGCTCATTAATCCGGTTAATCAGTTCTTCAATTTGTGGTTCCAGGCTTCCCTCTGCAGCATGAAAGAAAGATTGAGCCAGAGAAGACAGATGCCTGGCTGTCTAAGGCAGATAGAGATGGGTGAGTGTTGGCACAGTGTCTCTGATACTAGCAATCAAAACGCATTTATTGAGTGCCTGCTGTGTGCTGGGCTCTGTAAGGGGCCCTTGCAAGGGCTTCCATTTTGCACTGGTGGGACAGACATTGAGCAAAGGTATTTGCTATCAATGTGGGTGGCGATAACTGCTGCAGATGGAAATAAAGTGAAGCAAGGGGTTCAAGGGTGAAAGGGTAGAAGGTGCTTGATATGGAAGGGCCCTACCTGAAAACCTGCAGTTTTGTTGGGTGGGGAGTAGGGAGACCGTGCCAGGCAGAGGGACAAGTACAAAGCCCCAGCAGTGGGATTGAGTAACGCACATGCCCAAAGTAATGACTAAGGGGCTGGTGGGGGGGGGGGGAAGGCTGATATGAGTTTAATGAGTAAGGTGAAAGTACCAGGAGGCAAGGTGGGGGAAAGTGGGGTTGACAGATCACACAGGGCCTCCTGGGACATGACATGGTGGAGGCTTCTAGATGTAATTTTGAGTGAAGTGGGAGACAGTGATCTCCACCCTGTTAAAAGCCTGGCAGTCACTGCCCATCTGACTCTGGTATTGGCCTCATTTGAGAAATGGGGACAATGCTGTTTTCATCTTGTGGGTGGCAACTTTAAAGCTTTCCAGTGACGGAAAGATCATGCTCTCTTTAGGGAACCATCTCTAGCTTCTTACAGTCCCAATTTTTGGGCTCTGTTATGGAGAAGACTTCCTCCTCATCTCTCTGGCTTCAAGGTCAGCAGCACAGATTTGGGGCAAAAGCTTCCCAACCCTTGCTGGGTCTCACTACCAACTCTGACTGGAGTTCTGGAGTTAATAAACTCAAGCCCTTGATTTTCTGAGGCCATCAACTCTATCTCCTGAGACTGCCAGGAGAGTGAATGCTCTCCAAGGTGCTGATTATGACTTAACATTCCTGAGGGTCTTCATTTTACTCGAGGATGTCATGGTTACTCTGCATTTCCAGTCCTGTAATTTCTCTACCTAATTTTAGCCTAGGCAGTAGCCCCAATGCACTCCTCCAGGTAGTCATGAGTGTGCAGGGCTGGAGGAAGAGGGTTCTCTTTTATTTGGAACATATCAAACAGACCAATGGATCATAGTATTTTAAGTAGCAGGTGGGCTGGGCTAGGGTCAAACCTCAAACCTAGCTAGCACTCTGCCCCCACCCAGATGTAGGCTGGCTCCTAGGCCCCTTCAACAAGCGAAGCAAGTGCAGTCATTTGCATTGACATTTGCTGTTGTATATAAAAAGGGAGGACAATATGTATGTGTTCTAATCTCTGGAAAAAAACCTAAGAATTTAAAAATAGTTGCTGCTATCCCTTGGGTCAAGGACACGGATGGCAAGTGTATGTGTAAGAGAGTAGGATTTTCTGTCCCCTTAATACTTCTTGAATTTTGAAGCTGTACTTTTGGTTCAAAGAATTAAACTGTATAAGGGGGAGAATGCACAATGGGATAATTTCTCAGGTTGTGAGTTAAGGGGACTTAGTTTGAACCACATCTGCCTGCCTCAAAGCCCCACACTGAGCCTCAGACACAAAGAGATGCATGACCTTTCTGCAGCTTTTTCACCATTGCCAGCAAGTCTTCAGTCATCTTCAAAGACTTGGTCTGCCCTGCAGAGATGAAAACCAGAATTATAGGATGGAGGAAAGGTCCAGGCCTATCTGGGAAGGGAGGAAGAAAAGGCACAGTGAGTTCTGGGGAGCCCCTGAGCTGGAACTGAGGACAGGCTGGGGGCCAGGTTTCCAGCCAGAGCAGGGCTGCTGTAAGACCTCGTCTCTTGCCCTGAGGTTTATGATGTGTGCTGGATGAGTCAGAACTAAGGGTCAACTTCTCCTAAGAAGTCAGAGAACACCACAGGCATCCCCTTAGTGAAATGAAATTCAGGGTGAAAGGAGGGGATGCACTTTTGCTGCTGCTGCTGTTTAAAATCAATATGAAGTTCTAAGTGATGCGCTAGGGCAGAACGATTGCATATGAATTTTTAAAAAATCATGACAGGCCACAATTTGCAAATTCTTAAAGAACTGGTGGGTGTAGGAAATGGTTGTTGCTAGCATCAAAAAGAGACAACCAGATGTTATGAGCCTCCTCATGGAAGAAGACAATACCGCTTATGAAGGATTCTTGCCAAAAATCAAACCAAACCAAAACAAAACAGTCCAGGAATCTTACCAGGTTTCTTTACCTAAATACCAATTCAGAAGAAATAAAAGGGGGAGAAAAAGAAACATGTTAAATGATACCATGGGGATGCAGATGCTGGGAAACTCCACAGGACAATTTGGTTTCTTCAATAAATAGATCGCAAAGAAAAAAAAAAAGAGGGAGGGGGAAACTAGTAAATCAAAGGGACTTGACACATCTATCATTCAACTGTAAGGAAAAGACCTTATCAGATCCTGACTCAAAGACACTTTTCACCATATATACTTCCGTATGTATTTAATATGAGCCTGCATTACTTTTAAAATTATAACAACAACTTAAAAAAAAAACCCACAAATTCCTCCTAGGCCACCTGCTGGATTAAAGAGCATGTGTATTACTAAATTTGACTAGATTTATGAACTTGTTTTCCACCTGTTTCAAGGAGGCCCACAAAAGATTCCTTCCTCGTATCCTTAGCAGTCACATATGCTTTCTAACATCCTCATTTGCCAAACTGATAGGCAAAACCATGATTACATTTCAAGCTTTTTGGTAATAAATATCAAAAAATTATTCAAATCCTCTAGATCATAAATTCCATATTTAGGAATCTATCTCAAGGAAATAAGTAATGGTGGGGAAGTTGTTCATTGTTTCTAATCTTAAAAAATGGAAGCAACCTAAAGATATTTTAGTAACTACAGCACATTTATAGGATGAAATCTTTTGCAGCCACTAAAAATCATGTTATAGGGGCACCTGGGTGGTACAGTTTGTTAAGTGTCTGACTCTTGGTTTTGGCTTGGGTCATGATCTCAGGTCCACACTCGGCGCAGAGCCTCCTTGAGACTTTCTCTCCATCTTCCTCTCCTTCCCACACCTGCTCTCTCTGTCTCTCTCAAGTAAATAAATACGTCTTAAAAAAAAATCATGTTGTAGGTCAGGGGTTTTTAACATAAGCTTATTAAGTTTTGTTAAAATGTTTGGTGCTATATTTACTTTCTTTACATGTCTTGTTTGAAATCATCTGTAAGTTAGTATGCATTAATTTGATTTTCATTTGAATTTTTAATTCCAGAATAAAGAAATGTAGAAAAACATGGACTAAAAAGTAAAAGCTTCTTCTCAGCAACAGCCCCTTCTTCAATAAGCCACTCCCCTCCCCAGAGGTTAATACTGTCAACAGTTTGATGAACATACTCAGACCTTTTAGTAAAGCGTATTTCATGTATTCCTGTTTTTACTTTCTTACCCATAAAAACATTCAAACACTACAGAAATATGTGAAGTTAGAAATGAAACTTCCCCTTCTCTCTTTGGCCCTAAATCTTACTGCCTTTCTCCAATAAAATCACTAATAATAGGTTCTGTACTTCTTGAGACTTTTTAATTTTTATAATACTCGTAATATTTGGAAATGAAACAAAACAATTAAAGCTACTTTATTAACAAGGGGAAGTATTTGTAATTATTTGTTTTGTTATATTTCATATGAAAATTTCCAAACACACATGAAAGTAGAGAGGACACCGTGATGAACTTTGATTATGCATGGCTAAGATCTGACGACTATTAATATTCACGCATATTTGCTTCAGCTGCTTTGCCCATGCTGAGCTATTTTCAAGCAAGCCCTATGCTTTATGTCATTTTATGCCCAACTATCTCATTAAGAGTCTCAACTACTTGAGGACATTTTCTTAGATGTCTCCAATCCTGTAATCACACTGACAAGATTAACAATCATCATGTAATATCATCCAGTGCCCAGACAATGTGATTTCGGCTTGGATCATGATCTCGAGTCCCCATGGCTTTTACAGCTAGCTTTTGTAACTATTTCTGCAAAAGCTCTATCTATCTGTGTTTTTCCTCTCCATTTCTAGTCCTAGTCATCATGAGTGATCAGTAAATCTTAAATAACCCAACTGACATCTTGATAAATTTTTTTTGAGAAATCCACATTACAAAACAGCCTGTACAGCATGAATCCCTTTTAACATTTTATTTTCAAATAATTCCAGATGTACATAAAAGTGATAGAAAAAGGCCACAGTGCTATTTGCCTGCGTATTGGATTTCTCATCTGTGAGCATTTCTGTACCATAAATTGCAGACATCATGGCCCATTATTCCTTAATATTCCAGTGTATATTTCTTATATACAAGGGGACCCTACCAGGTAACCACAGTATAACCATCAAAATTGGGATGTTAATATCGATCAATATTAATATATGATCCTCAGATGCCTTTCAAAATTTCACTTTCTCTATTTAAACATTATATAGCACTACATTTTTCCTGAAAGAAAAAAATCTTTTAAAAAATCACAAAAATGCCTCCACCTTTGCACGCTCCTAAAAATTTAAGTCCCTTGTGGTGATTAGTTAGGCCTTTAGACATTGTTCTGTGCAATATATCTGGAGCTCTAGTTGACACTGCCCCTCTTTTACTTTTTTTAAATCCCAACTTGCTTTTCTCTCATAAAAGTATGATCATTTTTGAAGCTCATTCTTTGTCAATAAGCCATGATCTTACTCTTTAAAAATTTTTTATCTTATATTTTTCCAACTGCTTAAAAAAATGTCCACCAGGCATTCCACAGTGGGCATGGGTATATCTAAATCTAGACATTTCCGATTGCTCCTTGTGTTTTGCTTCTAACAACACTCCAGTGATCCTTCATGGTCCACACATCTGCATATCCTATGATTACCAAGCATGGTGACTAAAGATATGGAATAGCATTTTAGACGCTAAAAATATTCTGCCAAACTGCTTCTAGCAAAGCCTTTACTGGTCAGTTCTGAGTGAGGCAAGAGAGTCTGCTTCCCTACAGAGTAATCAATACTAGATTTATCCCTCTCTTTTTAAAGCCATTTCCAAGGGGCTAGAAATGGTAAGTTACATACTTTTCAATGTTATCCATTGCTGGTGAAGTTAATCATAACTTCAATTTTGACTAATTTGAAAGCTTGACACTAAAATGGTTTTTAGCATAGTTGCGACTATCTTAAGTGCTATAGAAGTGCTCAATAAATGAGATCTATTTGCATCTGTCTTCTTCCTGCCTATCCTTTGTTGGAAGCTGGCCCTTGATGGGTAACCCTAACCTAAGAGAGCTTGTCGTGTGACACTTATCATTCATACTAAAAAAAAAAAAAAATACTGAGCACCTACTACATGCCAAGCAGGCATTGTTTTAAGTGCTGGGGAAGTAACAATAAACAAGTGAACAATCATAATTATTGTTGATGTCTGCATAGATAGATCCGGAAAGATGCAGTCCAAATATTATTATTAATACAGTAGTTTAAAGAGTGTGCAGGAAAGGGGTACAAAGATAGATCAAAGGAGGGCACAGTCCAGGGCTGCTGAAACGAGTGATGGGTACATGGGCCTTCACCATGCTGTACTTTGGTACATTCCAAAAATGTCTACAATTAAAAAAAAGTTAGTGGCATAGCAGTGGATCACCGAATTGGGAAGGTTTCTTCTTCAAGCTACGCAGTAATCTCTAATCATCTTTAGGGCAACAGGCTGTGGGATGTCATTATGGACAAAGGGCCCCATAGAAAAGAAGCCGTCCGTGGGAGAGGCCATTCTCGATTAAGTCTCGTGGACTTAGAGTCCACGCAAAATGTGATATGGGCTGGGTGTGAAGTGATACTGGGGGAATTAGTGCTGCGTTTCCTCGGTGTGGCAGGAGCAGGGTGATTTTTGTGACAACGTCCAGCCCCCTTTTTGTTTGAAGAAATGCATACTCAAGTACCTAGTTGTTTCTTCGAAACACTTAAACCAATGTGCCTGATAAAGTGGAGTTAATCTGAATGATGAGAATATGCACGTTGCTTCCCCTTTGGTGAAGTTGTTTTTTTTTTTTTAATAAAAAGCTTAAATTCTTATTTCTTAGTACTGCTCTTTTACATCTCATAACTGTAACGGGTCACAGGCTCCCTCCCTCCTGCTCTGGCCGGGAAGAGGCCGGCTCGCCCTCACTACCTTCAGCCTCCTCAGCCTCCTCCACGACTTCGGGGGCCTCCATTCTCAAGGACGCCAACTTGCCCGCCATTTTCCAACGCGGGGCCTGAGCTTGCATGCGGTTTCGATGACTACTACTAAAAAAGAAAACCCAAAACAAAAAAAACCCAACCAACCAACCAAACCTGGCTGTGCGAGGGCCCCCCCGAGGCTGCGCGATGCGCATGCGTGCACTGCGCGCCCGCCGGTCGGTTGACCAGCGCAGGAGCAAGGCTTCAGCTCCAGCTGAGCTGCCCCGCGGCCCTGAGCCGGTGGCAGCGCACATGCGTACGCCCCCCAGGCCCACCAGCTCCAGTGCAGGGAAAACAGGGCACAAATGGGTGGAGGAGGGAGCGCTGCGCACGCGCATACAAACTCTGGGGAAGCCTTTTTCTAGGGTGCTGTGTGGTGCAGGTCGTGGAAGTCTGGGACAAATGCACATGTGCTTTGCGGTGGTACCCAAGAGTTCGAGTCCCCTTTCGTTCACAAATCCTAGCAAACCGCCTATGCCAGGTTTTCTGCACTTCACGGTTGAGTTCAAAGAGACTTCAAAGCCGAGTGCACCTTCCACACGTGTGAAGTCAGGTGCTCTGTCCTGGAGGGAGGCCCTGGAGGCCACGTGCTCACTGGTGTCAGCAGCAGGTTACACTGATGGGGGGCACTTCTGACAGGGTTAAGATGGAGTATGTGAAGGGCAAAGGAATGTCCTTGTAGGAACTGAATTTAGGTCTTTTATGTACTGTTTCTTTCTGAAACTCTCTCCAAGCTGGTTCCAGTCACAGGCTGGCCATGCATTCCCAGTTCCAGAGCCCCTGTGGACCACTCAACGGGACCCTGGCCAGCCCTGGACACTCAGGGCTGAGAGCCCATCAAGGAGGCAGACTCCTGATGCAGGACAGGGGGTGTGGTACCAGGACCAGAGGAGATAGCCCCTGACAGAGGCGAACATCATCCAAGTGGAGGAGGTGAGGCAGAGGGAGAGGAAGGCAGAGGAAGGCCTAAGGATTGCCCCAGAGGTGGTAGAGCATGATGGAGCTGTGGAAACAGACTGTCCTCTGTGCCTCCTGCCCCATTTCCAGGGTGGAGACAGAAGGTAAAAGCCTAAGGTAGTGGTTCTCAGCATTGCCCAACCTGAGAACTCTGCCTCTCAAGGTCCAGTGAATAAGCCATTATGGGAAGGCTGGTCTGTGGAAGCAGCTGGGGCTGGTGGGGGTGTGGAGTACTTGGGTGGGTAACGAATGAAGAGTCGATCCTCCTCTTTCTTCACCCAGCGCAGGAGTTTGGTCACTACCAAGATGGCACCTGCCTTTGTCACCAGGGGGCTGAGGCAGGTATAGAGTTCAAATTTGGAAGTCACCTGCAGGTTTAGAAGAGTCAGTCAGTTGGGCCAGAGCTGGCCATGCCCAGTCCTGTCCACCCCACCCGAGCCCCATTACTGTCTCTGGTTCGGAAAACACATCTGGCAAGGGTTCCCACCTTGTGCTACCTGGTCACTGGTCTAATAGGTAAACTAATATTTTGTCACGGTGGGCTAGGGGTTTTCAGCTAGGCCAAGGAATTTGCTGGATCTAGTGACTTCAATTGGATAATGCTGGCTGTGTGTGTGTGTGTGTGTGTGTGTGTGTGTGTGTGTGTGTGTACTCCCTGGATCTCAGTTTGCTCATCTGTGGACCAGGTATAACAACAATGATTAACATTTACTGAGCAGTTGTTGTATATAAGGTTTTAAGCTCCCCATACCTGTTACCATTCTTTGTAGTCTGGGCATAATCTGAGGATTAATTCAATTTAATATACGAACCAGAGAGACCTAACTTGACCAGGTCACTATACCTTTCTGTATCACTTGTCATTGCTCTCCCCCTTGCTCACTCTCCTCCAGCACTCTAACCTCTCCTTGCTATTCCTCAAAGATAGCCAGGTTCTGTCTCACCTCACAGCATCTGCTCAGTCCTTTCCCTCTGCCAGGTGTACTCTCGCTCTAGACACCCACATGGCCTGCCACCTCCCCCTTAGATACCATCTCTTCAGGGAATCATCCCCTGACAACTTAATTTAAAATCCTAGGCTAACCATATTTTGGTTTTGAAATGCCATTCTTCACTACAAGGGCTCCTTGGACAAATGGCTGATTCCAGGACTAGCATTGAGAAAGCACTTGATGAGCCTGGAATATCTTGTGCCAGAAAATTGGAATGCTCAAATAGTGATGGAGATGTATCAAAAAGACACAGGGGCCAGCTGGCTAACTCGAGATACTTTTGTCATGTACCAAAGTAAATGACAGAAAAGGCTTTTATATGAACAAATGAGTTAAAGAAAAATCCATGAGGCTATACTGGTATAAAATTAAAAATTCAACAAATAGAGGGAGGAAAAGGTCTTCTGTATAGTAGTAGAATCTCAACCAATATGCCTAGAATGGATGATGGAGTTCAAAAGTCACTACCTGGCAAACACCAGAGTAGTAATTATTGCAGACAAGAATCATGGATATTAAAATGAGTGCAAGGTATGATGTAAAAGAGAAACCTGACAAAAATCACAAGATATTTACTAATTATAAAGGGGGAAAACACTAACTTTATAGTAGAGAAATCTGGAAGATCCCACCTTAACCAAGTGATCTAAGTTATATCAACAATGGGACAAACTGACGACGTGGATCTCCAGATCAGATGCAGAGAAGAGCACATCATTCACTCCTCGGATAGTCTTGCCAGAAAATGCATGACCTTAATTCAGTCAAGATAAAATATTAGAAAAACCTAAGTTGAGGGACATCGTACAAACTAGTTAGCTGGTACTTTTCAAAAGTGCCAAGCACATGCCAGAAAAAAAAAGAGACTGAGAGAGGATTCTAGAATAAACAAGACTAAGGAGATAACAATAGATAAACCAACCTATGATCCTGGGCTGGCTTCTGGACCAGTGAAAGGACATTAGTGGGGCAACTGGTGAGATCTCAATTAAGTCTGTGGATTAGTTGTTGTATTGATGTGAATTTCCTGATTTTAATAAGCTCCCATGGTTAGTGTCTGGAGAAACTAGGTGAAAGATCTACTTATAGTAATTATTTGTATCATTTTGCAGCATCTTTGCAAGTCTAAAATTGCTTGAAAATGAAAGTTATGAAAATTTAAAAATAATAAAATCCTGCAGTTAAAACAATGCCTGATACCCAATAAGCATACAATAAGTGATTTAATACATGTGTGCTAAATGGCAGAGCCTGGGGAAGGTACTGTTTCCAGTGGGGTCACCTTGGCCAAACTCTCTGAATAGCTGACCCTCAACATGGGAAGTGAGGAGAGGAGCCCTGAGGACCTCAGGGGAGGACACACAGGTAGAAGGCACAGCCTGGGACCAAGGCTGTAGTGTTCACGAGTGCTGGGGCTCCCAGAGGGAAAACTAAACGGTAGGGCTCATGCACAGGCAGGGCTCATGGGAAAGCAGTGGGCACCCTGATGGTGGTTTATGGGACCTCTTCAAAGTCGAAGACACTGTACTGGTTGCTAATGGGGTAACAATGAAAGGAAGAGTGGTACAGGAGGCTTGTAGAGTGTGCAATTCTCATGTGTTTCAAAGACACATGTGTAATGGTAGGAACAGCGCCGCAGGCCAAGGCGTAGCCCAAGTGAAGGCATACAGTGACTCATGGTGCCTGTCATGGTCAGAGGGGAGAGTGGAGGAAAAGGAGGCTTGAAGTCAGGAATAAAGTCTTTCAGACCCCTCTTGGACTTACCCAGGCCAGCAGTGTCTCCCTCTCGGCCACATGGTAAATGAGGCGCAAGGGTCTGGAGGAGCTGTGGAGGCGTGCGTGCAGACGGTGGTACAGGTCCGACAGGCGCTGCCGCTCCTCCTCCCTACTGTACGGGGCCTCCAGCTCGGGGCTGCAGTGGTGGAGGGAGGGGAGGCCAAGGTCAGTGAGAGGCTTTCTTGGCTGGCCTGTCTCCCCTTAGTCTAGGGAGTTCAATTAAAGGAGGGAGCTGAGCCTCCCCCATTAGACTTGAGGTTTCTCAGTGGTTGGAGGCCCAGCTTCCCCAGCAAACAAGGGGGTTCCTGGAGTACTGGGGCCCTCTTCCTCACCAGAATAAGGGATTCCTTGAGGTTGGTGGTTGAGCCTCCCCCATCAGACAGACACCCATTCTATTCCATCCTTCTAGAGAATTCCTGGCTCTCTCCTGCCTCAAGTCTATGAGATGCCGAATCTTTCCTGCTTAGCCAACTGCCCACAGGGTCAGGGCCTACCTGGTAAACTGGGGCAGCTGGCGGTGATGGTCGGGGATATCCAGCGGCTTATAGAGGAAGTGTCGGAGGCCAGGTGCCCCCACAGCCTGCACACTGTAGGCAGGAGCATTGGTTGATGGGAAATTTGAGAAGCTGGCCGCCTCCCCAAGGGCACGCATGGCACCAAGAGTGTGCATGCCCTCTTCAACCAGGCGCCGGCAGGTGGCCATGTCATGGAAGGCCTCAGGGTCAGTGCCGAGCAGCAGCAGGCAGACCGGCATGGCATCCAGGCGAGCCACGTAGGCGTAGAAGAAACCGTCAGGGTTGAAGCGGGGCAGGCACACAGGTGCCCATGCCTCCCCTGCCGCAAAGGCCGGGGCACCCACCCAGTCGAGCAGCAGCTGCAGGTCAGCGGGGTCCAGCCGGCACTCGGCTAACACAGTCCGCTCCTGGGCTGCCGTCACCAGTCGACCTCCAATCGCCAGCACTGACAGTGCCAGGCCAGGTGCTGTGCACCGTCGGAGCAGTGCACCCAGTGCATCCCTCAGAGGGCGAGCCAGAGGCACACAACGCACGGCGCCCAGGAGCAGGGCACCAGGGTCCCGTTCCACACTGTCCAGAAGCCGGTCTAGTGTGCGCTCTGAACCGGCCAGCAGGCGGCGGAGGTCGTAGTTCTGCTTGCGTGCGAAGATGCGGGCCACACTCGCACGTGTCAACGTGCTCACGATCTGTGCGTGCACAGCTAACAGCTCCCCCCGCAGCTGGGCTGCTGACTGAGGAGTCCTTGACACGGCCACCAGCAGCAGTGGGCCCTGCTGCAGGAACACCAGCTTGTGGTCCTCTGGGGGAGGTAAGGGAGGCGAAGGGGTAGAGATGGGTGAGCAGTGACTGGAGGGGTCGGGGGGGGGGGCTCTTCTCCTCTTTCCCTGAACACACACACTCCTGGCCCAAGCTCACATGGTCACTCTATGGTACACTTGGACTAGGATAAGGACAACTTGGCAGAATTTGGATGTTTGTAGAGACATGATGGGATGGTCAAGGAATCAGCTTAGACACACAGCATGGATCAGGGGAAGACAGAGCAAGGACTGACACAGAACCCAGAGGCACCCAACTCAGCCACAGAGCCCTCAAAGTCACGCTTGCAGATAAATAAGGAAGTACCCAGCCAGTGAGTCAGATCCAGGTGAGTTAATCACTCAGAACCAAGCAGGCCAAACAGACAGACAACAGACAGTTGCCTGGCCAGCCATCCACATACAGGGACTCACCCCTGGCTGCCTGGATAGTCTCCCAGGCAGCCAGCCGGCCAGCCAGTCATTTTCCCAGTCACCATCCCCTGCTCTATCTCCTCCTCCTTTGCTCACCAGCATAGATGGCGCGGATGGCATCTCCTGCACTCTGCACGAAGGACACGAGGGCTGTCATCACACCCATGGTCGTCGACAGAGCCTCCACACTACCGTATCTTGAGTAGATGGGCTTGCCTGCCTCGCTCAGCACAAACACGTGCTTTCGCTTGCTGCGCCAGTCCTCATCACTGGGGTCCCCACCCTGGCCCCCAGAGCCACTCTCAGGGGCCCCCATGGGACTATTCTCGGAGGCTGCAGGATCCCAAAGCCCACAGGTGCATGATGGGGCGTCTGACTGGGGCAGTGGTGACAGCAGGCCAGGTGGCTGATCCTTCGTCTCGGATTCTGAAAGGGAACTCCTGGTGGGTCAGCTGGCTGTGGACTCCCATTCACCCCATGTGCCCAAGGACTACCAAATCTCTACCAGTCCCCCCAAAGACCCCTGATGCTGACACAGACCTCCAGGTGTGTCCTCCACCCTTCAGTGACCTCCACATGATCCCCCTAAAGCCCCAACAATCCAATCTCTCACTGTCATTACTGAACCCTCTATGTCCCTAGAGACTATTTAGTCTCCTTTCAGTAACTGCCACTTCCAAGTCTTCAAAGCACCATATTGCTTCTGAATGAACATTATTAATATCTTCATCTTCAGTGATCCCCTATAAACATCTCTGACCCCTCATGTATTCTCGTAGTATCTACTCACCACATTGGCCACCAGGACATCCACTAATATCTCTACATTCTCTCATTCAAATCCTTTCCCCTGCCCCACCCCTCCTTAATCCCTTATTTATTCTCATGGATGTTCACTGATCCCTAATGACCTCATTGACTCTTCTGGTCACCTATGTATATTTTTGGTGATAACCACTAATTCTCCCAATGACAGCCATGAATATCTACTAGCACCCTAACACCCTGTTTACTCCCACTGCTGTTCACTAACATTCCAATGACCCTGCATTAACATCACTAATACCCGGTCTTAAATGACCTCCGGTGACTTCCCTGACACACCATCTATTTTACCCCGTGTGCATTCCATCCCCACTATGACTACCATTAACCTCTACTAACATCCAAGACTTTGATGACCTCCCCCGACCCTCTTGTATTTCATTCTTCCTTCCCCAATGACTACTGGTAATCTCCACTAACATCCAGGACTTCAGCGACCTCCTCTGACTTCCCTGATCTCCTTTTATTCTGATTGATAATCCACTCCCCTCCTTATAATACCCACCATAATACACACTAACACACAGGACTATAATAATGATCTCCACCACCCTTCCTCATGGCCATCACTAACAATCAGCAATGAAACCCACGACTTCCCTTGACTCCCTTCCCATTTCCAGTCAATGTCCACCGATCTCCCAGCGACAACCATTGTATCAACAATTTTCCCATAAAATCCCAATGACCTCATATTTCCTCATTCTCTGATTGACATTCACTGATTCCCATGTTCCCAATGATCCCTATGCCTCCCAGTACCTACCACTACTTGCCAATAATTCCCAAATTCACTAAGACCACGACCCCCCCACCTCCACCACTTATCCTCAGTGATGCCCACTCATCCTTCCTGACGCCGCTGCTAACATCCACTCATTCTGATGTGGTCAATGAGCACTGATTCCCAATGACTCCCATTGAGTCTCCACCAAATACCTTTACACAACCACCTAGGTCTTCAAAACCCTCCTACTGGTCCTCCGACTCTGCAAATAATCTCACTGATGTCCACTGCCTCCTCACCAATGATCACCATTAACACCTGCTAATTTCTGGTTCCTTAAAGATTGCCACCAACAACCCACCACTGAGTCCTCATAAACACTGAGTGTGCATTGGTTGCCCCTGATCCCCCTTCCCACCTCAATGGCTTAAACAACACCCTACCCCAAAAGACACTGACTTCTGAATAGTTTCCCTTCGGCTGTGCTAACTTTCTTCCAGTCATTCGTTCATTGAATTAAACATCCTCAATCCCCATTGCCCCTCACTGACCCCCGCTGATCCCTTTCTGATTCTTCAAAGACCTGAACTCACACCAAGTCCCCAGTGAACATCCCCTGACACCCACTGATTTCCGGTTCATTGCTTGATGATTCAAATTACACTCTGTGTCCACAATGGCCTCCTACTGATCCCGCTATGGTTTAGACTACTTTTCTGAGTCCAGAAGGCTCCTCGCTGGCCCCCCACTCCCCCCCCCCCCGACAGTGACACCCTCTCGGTATTCCTTCCGAGACCCTCGTGAGGGGAGGGCATACCTGTTTTCTCCAGGTCCCCGTCTCCGGGATCCGGCGGGTCCTCGGGAACCCCTCCACCGTCTCCAGCCTCCTCACTGGGGAACCGCGTGTCCTCCAGGTCCTCCGCGTCCCCAGGGGCCGGGGCAGCAGTGTCTCCTCCAGCCTCCATCTGCACATCCCTGTGGGGTAAGGGAATTGAGGGTGACAGCAAAAGAAACTTCTTAAAAGCCTCTGCTGAGCCCGGCCCTTGGACACAACCCTAGTGCTCGTTTCCCCTCGGGTTTCAGCAGGATGAGACAAGCAAAAACACGGCCAAATACTTGCACCCTCCAACATTTCCCGAAAAGGGAGGTTCTAATGAGCTCCAGCAGATAAAGAGAGAGAAACACCTGTTTTAACCCCGTATCCCAACTGGCTGGGTACCATCACTTCCCGAGCAGCCGAGCATCCCGCTTCCGGGTGCGGCTGCCGTCCGGCCACACTTCCCGGTGCGACGCCGCGCCGCAGACACTTCCGGTTGCGGAGCTGGATTCGCTCTGCGCCGCGCCGGAGCCCGGGCTCCCGCCGCCCACTGGCGTCCCCTCACCGTTGAGACGACGCGTGCCACTCCCGGGTTTACGTCGTCTGGTCGGGGACCCGGCGAGCCGCCCGTGCGCCCCTTCCGCCGCACCGGCTCGCACGGCTCTCAGGCGAGCCGGGCCGCCTCTCCTACAGCCGGCTGGCGGCGTGACGGGGGCGCGGCTCACGCTCAGCCAATCCGGAGCCGGAGGGCGGCACCGCCTCCCTTCGTGGCCCAATCAGAAGAAGCCTGCTCTGCCCCACCGGTTCCGCCCCCTCTCCGGCCGCGCCGGATCTCCACCAATGCAGTGCGCTGCGCTGCGATTGCCCCCGCCCAACCTTGACTGACAAATCCCCGCGCCCAATCGGAGGCTCGGGCCGATTTCTCTCCTCACTCGGGGACGTCCGCAGCCGCGGTCGGGGTGGACACCGGTGCGCGGCCAATAGGCGGAGAAGGCGAGCGGACGAGGTGGAGTGGGCGGTGCAGAGAGGAAATGCTTGACGGACAGCCCCCGCTTCCAATAGGAGGGCTGTGCGCAGACTGGCCAGCCTATGGGGCTCGGCTGCTCAGAAGCGAGAGGCGGGCTTCTCAGAAGTAGGACGTGTTCGTGCGTCTCTCTGGGGTCGTCCAGGCAAAGGGCTCGACGGGCTCTGGAAAAGGTACGCGAGCCGTGGCGGTGCTCGTGGAGAGGGCGGGGCGAGCTTACGAGGCAGCGTGCGGGCTGCTCGCGGGTTGCCCAGATCGGCCAAAGGCCCGGCGGACCTCCCTTCGGAAACAGCTCTGTGGGCGGAGCTATGCGGTTCCGGGGTCCCGGCTCCGAAAAGCGCAGGAGCCCGGGTCGGTCGAGGAAAATGCGCCCCAGCCTCGGCGTGCACCCTTGGCCGGGCGAGGGGCAGCGCGACGCCGCCGCCGCCGCCGCCGCCGCCGCCGCCGCCGGACCCGCGCCCCACGGAGGGCCCACGCCAGCCCAGAGAGTGCCCGAGGCGACGTCACCGGGTCAACGAACCGGCTCCGCCCACATCCGTATTCCCAGCGAGATGCGAGGCAGGAAAACAGCCCTGCCGACGGGACTAAGCTTCTGGAGTCCAAGAAGCAAGACCCTGGACTCACGCAAATACTTTTCCATCCTCGTTACAGAGGCTCGAAGGAACTGAAGGGTATTTGGGTTTGTTTATAGGGCTGCTAAGGAGACTAAGTGTGCTCACATCCCAAAGTGGGCGTCTCCAGTGGGGACTTCTGCATTTGGGTTGAGTTGGTCAATCTCATGACCTTTGTTTGCCATCTCATTCTTTGCACAAACACTTCCGTACCGGGCTTCACCCACAAGCCCAGGAAAGCCTGTTCTTTCTAAGGACTTTTTTTTTTTTTTCATGAGGTCACTAGAACCTTGTTCCCAGGTGTGCACGACCATGCCTGCTTCTCTTCTTGCCCCCAGGATGCACAGCGCCTCTGAAACTGACAACGCGTAAACCACACGAGGAACCTGCCTGTGCCCATCTGGATACGTTGTGATGAGCCTCCTGCCCACGGGTTCTTGTCTCTCTAGGCTTCCCGAAAGCTAGGAAATTGAACTTGAATATATGGGTGGACATTGGAGAGGGGAGAACACAGCTGTGAGAAGAAACAAGGCAACTTGTCGTGTACTTGTGCTGTCACTTGTATGCACTGTGCAGGAACATTTGTGACCTCGATTTCACTACTACCTGTCCCTCTTCTGTTCCTTGCTAATTCTCTCTTTTCTCTGCCCCTCTCACTTTGTTCCAAGCTCTCTTCTCCGATTGGTATCACTGCTCCCCGCTCCTACTTACCGTTCCCTGCTGTGTTTCCTTGGTCCTCGCTCCCTCACCTAGTTCTTTGCCTCTTCTTTCTCTACCTTGTCACTCTCCTTGCTTTGGATCCCTTGATCTTATTATCGCCCCCAAACTGGGTTGGGAACAGGACTAGGGAGAAGAGGAATGATGATCTTAGCTACATGTGCCACATTCTTCCATGAGGAAAGGGTTGGGTGCTTTCCTAAATAAACAGTTTTGAATGGAACACCCCTACCCTGCATCCATCAAGTGCAAAAATTGAACAAGTTTAGCCTACCCTATGTAACTAACCAATGTAAATGGAACAAAAAAATTCATAGCCTTCTCTATTTCACCTGACAGACGTCTAGCTCCATTTCCAAGTTTACTATCCTCCATAAGCCAACCAATTTCTTCAAATTTCTAAATACCCAAATCTACTAATTTAACCAAGCCCTTAAACACTCCTTAAGTCATCGACCTCCATAAAACATCCAATGTCTCTAATCCCGAAACATCCCCAAATGCTGTCTTCACCCCAAGCCCCATCTTTACCACACTCACCAGTGTTCCTAAAACTCTCACTCTTCAAATGAAAGAGTTTGGAAAAATGTCCAAAGCACCTAATCATTCCACACACCCCATGATCCATTAATCTACCCACATCCCTAAAGCTGCCAATTTCCACAAATCAGCAACCTTCCAAAAATGCTAGTCTTCAATACCAAATACACTAAAACCTCAACTTCCCCAAGGTCAACAACATTTCATGCCCGTCAACCTCCTCAAGCCCAACAATGTCCGATGTCCATGCCCATCAGTTGCCCCAACAATGTCCCATGCCCATCAAACCCACCATATCCTTATGCTATTCAGCCTCTCCAAACCTGCAAACTTCCTAAACACACCATACTGCCTGAATATACCCATTTATTCAAACACATCAAACTCTTCAAACCTCTATCCTCTCACAAGGCATCAATATCTCCAAACCTTCCAAGCTCTTCAAGTCCTGCCTTTTCCATGAGGTTCAAATCCCTTTCTCAACTCCCCAAAGCCACCAGTCACATAATTTCCAAGTGTATCAAGCCCTAAACCAATCCACTGAATTTCTCAAGCCTCAAATGGCTAATTTCTTTAAGTCTCCAAATACCCATCCTTGTCTCCCTAATCCCGTATCCTCCATAAAGCCCAAATCTCTGAATCCATTGAAATCCCACCATCACTTTCAATCTTCTCTCTTCCTCAGATCAGCATATCCAAACTTCCCTAAAATATGAACTGTCCAATTGCTCAAAGCCACTGATTTCTCCAAACAAGCAACTCTCCCCAGCACAGAAAACTGCCCGTTTGGCAGCCCCCACAATCCTGCCAGATTATGGATGTCAACAGCCTTTCTAAACCATGCCATCTTCCCAACACCATTAGGTGCTGTCAGTTTTGAGGTGCTCTATTTGGACTATCTCTTGCTCTGGGTGCTGGTGGGAGGGAGTGTAAACTTAATAAAATTCCTCAATTCACTCAATTCCTTGTTGATATCTTTGGTTTTTCTTTTATCTAAGAACCACGTCCCTGTGTCCGTTCCTTCTTGCTTGGAGGCACGCCATCTCTTCCCACTGGGAGCAACCAGACACTGGGAGTAAAGAAAGTACGAGATACAGACAGTCTTAAGACCACAACAGGCATGGCTTGAACATTGCTTGGCGTTCTTTCTTTCTTTTTTGATTGAAGTATGGTTGGCATACAGTGTTACAGTAATTTTGGTTTCAAATGCAAAAACCTCTGTGGGTCCAGGGAGAAGACTCTGGATTTGTGGTGGGCCTGGTCCTAGGTTGAGTGCTCTGTCTCCACAGAGGATACACAGGCCTGGAGAATTGGATCTGACAAGTGACTGGAGCCTGAGGGCCAGGGCCAGGCCAAGTGTCACTATCAGAACTGTGGTGATATTTCTCCCCAACATGCCTGTGACATTCCTCAATCTGTTTGACCCTGGTTGTAGGGTGAAGAGGTTGATCTGTGATAAAGAATGCAGAGACTGCTAGTGCAGGGCACACAGCTCAGAAGAAAGCAAACCCCCTTGCATAGACAATTTCAAAACTCAGAGTCCTCTCCCATAAAAGGTCATGGCTCAACCCAGGGTAAGGCCACTGTGTGGCCATCCTGGGGTTGAGTGGAGTGAATAGACACAATCACTGACCTGTGTGCAGTCTCATGACTAGTCCTGGATGTGTACTGTGTGGGAAGAACCTGGGGCAGACCATCTACTGAGTGTCTGCCCAGCCCTGAGAGGAGGGCCTGCTTGGGTCCGTAGACTGTTCTCCAGAGACTGCTCTCCTACTCTGGAGGAGAGTTTGTACATTCGTTCTTTCTTTCTCCGTCTCTTCTCTTCTCTTTTGTGCCCCTTTCTCTTCTTTCTTTCTTTTGGCTTAAATGGGGGTAGAACCTCATTTATAAAGCCTTGTTATTTGTCACTGCAATTTTATTCCTTTCTAAAAAAGATTTATTTATTTTAGAGAGGGGGGTAGGGGACAGGGGGGAGGGAGAGAGAATCTCAAGCAGACTCTACCACCGGTGTGAAGCAGGATCAATCTCAGGACCCTGAGATCATGACCTGAGCCAAAATCAAGAGTCGGATGCTTAACCAACTGAGCCACCTAGGTGCCCCATCACTGTAATTTTATTCCTAATAAATATGGTAAAATTGACACTAATGTTTAGTATTCAGAATAATGGCTCACTAAAAATACCTACATCTCAATCTCAAACCCGTTAACCTGTGAATCTATGGCTTATATGGTAAATGGAGCTTTGCAGATGTGCTTAGATTAAGGTACTTGAGTTGAGGAGATTTATCCTGGCTTATCCAGTGGCTCAGTGTTATGATATGAGTCCTTAAAAACAGAGAACATTTCCCAAATTGAATCATAAATAGTTATGAAAATGGAACACGTCAGAGAGATTCTACATGGTTGGTTTGAATATGAACACAGGAGGCCAATGCTGTCAGCTTCTGAAATTTCACAAAGCAAGGCACAGATACTCCCGTAGAGCCTCCAGAAGGGAAAATAGTATTGCTAATATGTTGATTATAGTCTGGTTGAAGTTCTGACATACAGAAATGCAAGAGATCAAATTTGAATTAAGATATTGAATACGTGGCTAAGCCTGTGGTGTTATGTTATATACATAACAAGAATGAGCTAATACCTGATAATGTTAAGAAATGCACAAAACAGTCATAACAGCAACATACACTGAGGGATTAACATGTACCAGACACAGCTCTCTGTGTTTCATGTGCTTTTCAAGTTATCTGAGAATACATTGAGAATACAATGATCTTGGAAGAAAAATTATTCTCATA